TTCTGGTGTCCCAGTTTGTGCCCATTGCCCCTTGTCCTGTCACTGGGCACCACCGAGAAGAGCCCGGCCCCATCCATTTGGCCCCCACATTTCAGATCTTTATAGACGTTGATCAGATCCCCTCTCAGGCTGCTCTTCTCCAGGCTGGACAGTCCCAGCTCTCTCAGTCTCTCCTCACACAGGATATGCTCCAGGCCCCTCATCATCTTTGTGGCCTCTGCTGGACTCTCTCCAGAAGATCCCTGTCCCTCTGCAACAGAGGAACCCAGAGGAGTTTCGGGTTTAACCTTTTATTATATGTCCCATCCTGGCAGGGCTGGGAGATTAAAGAAACCAGAGAGTATAGACTTGTTCTCATCTTTCACACCGAGCCAGCTGATACGCTTCAGCGTAAGCCTGGGAGAGAATATTTGGGCCAGTGAATTTGGTTCAGGATTTGCATGTCTTGCTTGGCCACATGTGCTCACATGTGGTCTTGGTTGCAGCACTTGCAAGAGGTTCAGTCCCCAACCAGGGGAAAACAGACGGATCACAGATCTTCTCTTGCTCAAGAAATAGAAGTGCAGAAGAATTGTCACCACCTTGGCTCCTCAAGAAATAAAAGTGCAGGAGAATTGTCACCACCTTGACTCCTCAAGAAATAAAAGTGCAGGAGAATTGTCACCACCTTGGCTCCTCAAGAAATAAAAGTGCAGGAGAATTGTCACTACGTCCTCAAAAAGGCCCCCGAGCTGCTCCCCAGAGGAAGCTGCACTGGGATGTGCACCAGCAGCATTTCACCGACCACCTTACAGCTCATTGAACCCAAACTGGACACTACAGGCAGCGTGTGGGTGCTTCCTTCCTCTCCCATCCTGCAAGCAAAGGGTGAGCTTCTTGGTGAACTTAATGCTCCTCTGAGAAACTCAACTGCCTACTCACCAGCGTTCACAAGCTCTGCCAGTCACGTCGTGAAGCTCCAGGTTAAACAAGGAGCCAGCGAGGGCTTCTCCTGGCTCGTGTCTCCTCAGGGAATCTGCATTAGTTTGTCTCCCTCCCTGACAAATTTGGGAGCGTGGAGATAGGGATGGAGCTGCTGTAGGTGGCACAGTCCCTCCTTTCCTCACGATGAAACCTCCCAGTTTAATTAGAGCCAGTGTAGAGAACCTCCATCTGATTATTCCTTCACAGCAGGGCACCAGTAGCATTTCTTGGACATTCAAAGGAGGATTAAATTAGTCTGCAATTGAGGGGGGTTTTTCCCTCCTTCACATCTCTGGGAGGGTGTTAAGCCTCCAGAATCACTGTGGTGATGGATGCCTTTGACATGGCATGCAGTCCCTGATGACAGCAGAGCTCTCTGCCAGAGGGGTTATTTGCAGCTTTCTGGGCTGCAAATCCGTGGGTGGGTGGAGAAAAACAGGAATGGAATTGCTTGGGATAATTGTGCCCTTCCCAGGTGTATAAACCAGGAAAGGAGGTTTCTGGAGATGCGACCTTGGCAAAAATCACAGAGTTGTCGAGATTGGAAAAGCCCTTTAAGCTCATGGAGTCCAACCATGAACCCAACACTGACCAGTCCCTGACTAACCCATGTCCCTCAGCACTATGTCTACATGACTCTTCAATCCCTCCAGGGATGGGGACTCCACCACTGCCCTGGGCAACCCCTTCCAATGCCTCAGAACCCTTTCAGCAAAGAAATTCTTCCTCACATCCCATCTCAACTGCCCTGGGTGCAACTGGAGCCCATTTCCTCTTGTCCTGTCCCTTGGTCCTTGGTTGAACAGACCCACCCCCACCTCTCTCCACCCTCCTTTCAGGGACTTGGACAGAGCCAGAAGGTCTCCCCTCAGCCTCCTTTTCTCCAGGCTGAGCCACCCCAGTTCTGTTCCATGTCCCTTTCTGGCTGAGGAGACGGTGGGACTTTGGCAGGGAACAGGGGATGGCAGCTGGCAGCGAGCTTTGCTCTGCTGAGCTTGCCCTGGCAAGCAGCTGCTTCGTGGTTTGGTTTGGGTTTTGGGTTTTTTTCCAGACTCAGTGTGTCTAGAGAGGAACGTGCATCTCCCCAGCTCAGAGCTGGCTTGCCAGGGTGTGTGCTGGCACCCCAGGAAAAAAAAAGGGGCATGAAATCAAACTCAGATCAATCATCTATCTGCAAGTAGCTCTGGGGTGGGAATACCCTTCTCATGTGCAGGGCTGGGCCATCCTGGCACGTTCTTGCTGGATCCTGGGGACCTGTGAAGACCTTATCTGAGGGTTGAGCAGGAAGAAATCCACAGCTTTGCTGAGCAAACCAGGAGAGCAGCAACCCTTTGCTTTCCCCCAGTGTCTAAATGTCAAGGGTGAACTACAGCAATCCCTCTTTGTCTGTCATCTCAGGTCTTCTGCTGAGCTGTGCTTCCTCTGAAAGAGGAGGGGGAAAAAAAGCTTCTCTTGGTGCAGAGAAGCTCTTGCCTCATTGATCAGCCTCCTGGAACCCTCCTTTTGGCCCTGCAGTGATGGATTGCTGGGCCAAAACGAGCAGCCTTGAGCGGTTGCAGATGTCTCCCCGCTGAAATACAAGAAGCACAAACCCAAGGTCTTGAATATGTACATTTTGTTTTGGTTTGGGTTTGTTTTTTTTTTTTATCTCCTCCTTGTTTTGAGGTCTGGAAAAGGGATTTTGCTGAAACATTTAAGATCTTTGTCAGAACAAGCGTTTATTCTGCTTGGTGATTTGATTTTTGGAGGCTGAGGGGCTGCTGTGATGTCTCCCAGTGCTTTTGAAATTGGATAATTACCTAAAAAGATTTTATTTCTTTTTTTCCCCCTTACTTCTTCCTCAAAAAAAACCAAAAACAAAAAAAAAAGAAACCTTTTTGAATCCCTGTGGGAGCAGGAGGTTTTCCAGAAGAAAAAAGACTTGATAAAAATCAAGTGTTTGATGTTGAAGTAAACAAACCTGTATTGTTCCTCCAGAACTGGAGTTTTGACTACAAACAGGAGAAATCCTGGCAATGTCCTACAGCAAACGCTTGGGAGTCTGTAGGCCACTTTTGATGTCTCTGTAGGTACTTTGGCATTAATTTGAACCAGTTTGAGGCAAAATAATCACTCATTTTAACTGATCCATATATCCTGCATCCCCAAACGTTGCCACTTGCCTTGCCTCAGTGGCGTGGGGCTGGGAAGGGAACGTTCTTCTCCATTTGGGTTGCAGGGAAGGACACTTTGAGGTGGATTTAATAAGGCACTTCATTATCTTCCAGCTCGAGCAGTTGAATGGTGAAGTTTCGAGAGCAGGGGGGTCTTTTCTTAGCCCAAGTGATGTTTAGAAGAAAGCTGATAAGCCCTTGACACAAATAGCCCAAAGCAGCCTGGTCTTTGCAGCTCCTCCAACATCTCACCTTTTCGCTACTTTTAGAACAGGCGTCACGAGGCGCTTTGATAAATGGATTTGAAAACTTCACTGTAGCTTCTGCAGGTCCCTTCATCCTCCTCTTACAAAGAACTCAAAACCTCCGTGCTCCAGATCCTGAGCTCCTCCAGCATTTCATAGAATCATAGAATGGTTTGGGTTGGGAGGGACCTTAAAGATCATCCAGTCCCAACCCCCCTGCCAGCAGCAGGGACACCTTCCACTAGACCAGGTTGCTCAAAGCCTCATCCAGCCTGGCCGAGAACACTTCCAGGGAGGAGCAGCCACAGCTTCTCTGGCCAACCTGGGACACTGTCTCACCACCCTCACAGTGAAGAACTTCTTCCTAATATCTCATCTAAACCTCCCCTCTTTCAGTTTAAACCCATTTCCCCTTGTTTTGTCATTAACTGCCCTTATGAAAAGTCCCTCCCCAGCTTTCTTGTAGCCCCTTCAGGTACTGGGAGGCCACTAGAAGGTCTCCCTGGAGCCTTCTCTTCTCCAGGCTGAACAGCCCCAACTCTCTCAGCCTGTCCTCACAGCAGAGCTGCTCCAGCCCTCGCATCATCCTCGTGGCCTCCTCTGGACTTGTTCCAGCTGCTCCAGGTCTCTCTTGTGCTGGGGGCTCCAGAAGTAGACACAGTATTCCAGGTGGGGTGATTTCCCTGAGGAGTGATGGTTTAAGGGCTTTTTGAGGTCTCTGCTGTCTCCAGACTCGGTTCCTGTGCTGGCTGCTGTGAGCAGAGTGTGTTTCATTCCCCGTTTCCTTGCGTTTTTGCCGTGTGTGAATCTCAATTCTTGGCTCAAAATGGAGTTGAGAGACGATTCTGCCGCTTGCTTTTTCCAGCAGGCGTTGGAGTTGGAGCCGTGTGGTGTGATTTAAGGAGCTGTGTAGCTTCTGTTGGGTGAGGAATATCTTGACTGAGCCATGGTTTGGGAGGGTAGGAGACACTTGGATTTTCAGTGGGGCAGTGTTAGCAAACAGCCACGTCTTTTTAATGTATTTTGGGCTGTTCCTGCCACCTCCATTCAGTTGCAGATGCTGTCTGGACCATCCCTCTCCCCTTTCTGTCCCAGGGACTTACTGCCTGAGGTATAAGGAACTTTAAGCAGCTAGAACCATGCCTGATTCCTCTTCCCTTGTTCTTTTTCTGCAGCTGGTCAGCGAGAAGGTTGGAGGAGCTGAAGGGACCAAGCTTGACGATGACTTCAAGGAAATGGAAAAAGTGAGTAGGGAACAAGAGAAATCTCTAAAATAACCCATATAACTCCTCTGTGACCTCGCCAAAGCCCTGAGCTCAACTTCACTGCTAAGCTGGGTCATCTTGTCTTTCCTACAGAAAGTGGACCTGACCAGCAAGGCAGTTACTGAAGTGTTGACCAGAACAATAGAGTACCTCCAGCCAAACCCAGGTGAGTCCCTGGACCTCTCCCATCCCCTTCCCTCTGCCCCCCAGTTTTACGGGGAAAGGGGCAGAGAGACATCTGAGAAAACATTTTTGGCCCTGAGATGTTGGTCACCAGCCCACATTTGTGATCAGACACACTGCCTGCCTTGACCAGAGGTGTGCCAGGTCATCTCCTACATCTGGCCGTCTGTGGCTTCACTGGCTGAGCTAGTGGGGTCTGGCTCTTGGCTCGCTGGTCTTTCCAGCTCAGGTGGTGAAGATCTTGCTACCTCTCTTGCCCTGGGCTATAAGACATTGCTGTTGCTGTGGAACAGTGAAAGAACAGACACATCCTTAGCCTTGGACCTAGAAAGGACCTGGGTTTTTTTGAGATGTCCAGAAAAAGTGGCATCTCTGGGCTGGGAAAGGGTGGCTGGTTTTGTAGGCATCACCTCTGGAGCCTGCTGTCCTGCATGCTTCCAGCCAGCTCGTTCAGAGAGCACTCCAGGGACTATGGGAGGGCTGGGGAAACTCCTCTGGCCTTCACTGGCGAGCTGCAGGGAACTATTTTTGCTTGCTCTCTTGGAAAAGAAACTTCTCGTTTCGTAGCGAGTGGTATTTCTGGTAGATGAAGACAATAGAGCTTCTTGGCTTTGGGTGTAGCTTAAAAAAAAAATTAAATAAAATAAAAATAGTTGGCAGTGGCCAGCAGCTGCTGGCAAGTCCAAGTAATTGCAAACACGGCTGTGGCTGTTTCTGTGCCAGCTTCCAGAGCCAAGCTAACCATGCTCAACACCATGTCGAAGATCCGCGGGCAGGTGAAGAACCCCGGCTACCCGCAGTCGGAAGGGCTGCTGGGGGAGAGCATGATCCGATACGGCAAGGAGCTGGGTGAGGACTCCAACTTTGGTGAGTGTCCCATGGGGCTGGCTCCCCTCAGGAGTGTGTGGATGAGATGGTGTGAAGGCTGCTGCCAAATTTCCAAGCTGTTACTCTTAAATTCTGCAAGGGCTGTATGAACCTTTGTGTCACCTACCGACACTGGGGGCTCTTAAAAGAGATTTAAAGACTTACACCCAAGGCAGCAGGGATGGGGTGAGCAGAGCCTGAGTGTCCTGGATCCCAATCCATGGTGTTATGTGCAAAAACCACCTCTTGAAGTTTTCTTATGAAACACTGAGATAAATTTGTACGTAGGAAAGAAAAAAATGCTTTCTTGCTTCTAAACTGAACAACGGTGACGTGGAAATACAGATTGAGTGAGATTCGGGGTTTTATGGTGCAGTTTCCAGCCAGAGCTCTGCTATAGGGAGGCTGTAGCCAAGAAATCTTTTTTTGCATGGTGATTTCTCATAACCATGTGTAACTTACAGGGAGGAGGAGGAGGAGGAGGGTGAAGCTTTTCAGTGACATCAATTTAATCCACTAAAACATCAGCCAGCGCACGTGACAGAGCTGGTACAGTACACAGCTGCCTGATGGCTTCCAGCACAGGGAGGAGCCTTCTTGCCTCAGGAAAACTTAAAAAAAAAAACCCCTCTGACTGCTTTGTGGGAGTAATGAAGGATTCTTGAGAGTGTCTCTGGCCAACTCCGAGCCCTGCATCCCTCTTGACTTACAGGAACCGGAGTCATTACAGAGAGCAAGGGGGGAAGGAAGTTTTTAGATGAACACACCAAACCTGATTTCCTTTAATAGCCTCTCTTTAAAGGAACACTTAACTTGATAAATGTCTGTGTTAGTACTGCATCCCTCCCTAGGGCAGGTTCTCCAGAGTTATCACAACTGAAATAAAACTCTTGTTGTATATTTATTTTTCCAGCTGGATAGTAGAGTGGTATTTTCACTTTAGCCTCTATTTCACTTGCGTATTCTCCTGTGCTAATGTAGTGCTGAAATGGTTGGTTTGCCAAAGCTTCACAGGAATAATTTAATCTAGAAATGGTTTCCACTGGAATAAAAAGCCAAGAATAAAAATGCTTTGCTGTGAGTCTGTCTGGCTTAGCTGTCGTTGTGGCAGGAGCCTTAGAAAAGCAAGACATGAAATAGGTTTCAATCAGGAACTTGGAGCTCTCTGCTTCAGAGGGGAGGAGAAGGAATAAGGTTGGCTTGCTAGAGGTTAGTGTCTAAAATGAATAAAAAGCTGCAGGTTTGCTGCCAGCATCTGGGGAAACTTGAAAAGTTAGTTAGAGCACTCCAGGCTTAAAATTGTCTGAACAAAAGTGTGGTCAGGCTGGATCAGACCAAACCTGCCTCTGCCGTGGGCTTCTCTTGCCAGCAGTGGCCAAGGAGCAGAGCAAGGATCAAGCACTGCATGGCCAATTGGAAGCTCCACAACTCCCTGAGCTTCAAAAATACTGCTTTAAAAAATATTTTTACCTTTTCCTTCCTCTGTGTAGTTGGTAGAGATTGTTCCTGTTTTTCAGAGAGAGGGGGGGGGGAAAAAATGAAGCATGTTAGTGAAGTGTCTTGTGTGGAGTCAGGACCAACGGGCCATCGCCTGCTCTCACGCCAGGCACCGCTCGCTCCGAGCCAGGCTCAGAGATTTGCTCCAGATAGAAATAGGGGGGTGCTGGGTGGGGGACAGAGCTTGCACACGCTGGGTGTCTTGGCAGAATGGCTCTGCATGCAGCCACCACAGACTCAGGCTCTGTTTAACTGGCTGGCCCCTTCTCCCTTCCTCTTCCCTTCCTTTTCTCACTCGAAGGCGACGCGCTTCTCGATGCTGGTGAATCTATGAAGCGGTTGGCTGAAGTGAAGGACTCACTGGATATTGAAGTCAAACAAAATTTTATTGATCCTCTGCAGAACCTGTGTGATAAAGACCTGAAAGAGATCCAGGTAATCACCTCCATGTCTTGCTCTCTTCCTCATCTCTTTCATTCCTGGCCTCTCCTGGCTATTCGTGCATGTCACTGCTTGCTCTGTCACGGTGGGAGCCAAGGACTTGTGTAGGTATCAGCTCTGTTCCTCTGCACTTTGTGGGCTTTCTCTCCCCACATTCACTGGTATTTCCTCCCTGCTCAGCACCGTTGCTGCTACTTCTCTGAGCAGCTGGATGCAGGTTTGAATGGTTCTTCATTTCCCCTGTTTTATGGAGGAGGACATTATGGGAATAAGTCCCAACGTGCGTTCTGGGCTTGCTGAATGCAATTCTTTGTGCTATGAGCTCCCAGCCGTGTAGGGCTGCCTGGCTTTACACTTCACAGTGTTCTCTACAGCTCTTGGCTCTATTCTGTTAGAAGCCTGGATCCTATAACACAACTTTTAAGCTATGAGCAAGCTTCCCTCTAGGTCTCTTAGCATCTCAAGAAGGCCCTTGGTGTCTCACTGGGGACACACAGAGCTTAGAAGCTCCTGTGTGCTACCATAGAGACAAGTCTGTGCAAAACACAGCCAGGCTTGGTGGTAGGATCCATCCCAACCTCTAATTCACAAGGCAGCACTCCCGAGTGAATTTTCACTTACAGTCATGTCCCAGATAAAATAACAGCCAACTACTGTTTCAGTACTTATCTGTACTCCAATTCTGCAGGCTGCCACAGAGCTGATTTAAACAGCCCTGCCCCGTGCAATGCCAACAACCTGCATCCCAATTCCTGATCTCCACAGATCTCTGTTGCTCCTGAGGAGCTGAAAGTAGCAAGCCCTCTTCATCTTCCCAAAAGGCTTATGTGGGGAACAGACCCAAACTGCTCCCTGCAGTGTTTTCCTCCAGCTCCTGACTGGAAGGAGGGTGAAAGCACATCACCATTTCAATTTGTTGAGGGTTGTTTCTTAGTAAAAAAAAAAACCCAGCAGTAATCCTCTGCCAAACTGAGTCTGGACAGTCAGCTTCTCCCTGTCACCTCGCAGCAGCCCTGCCTTGCAGCTCTCCATCACATCCTGGAGCCTCTCCAGAGCCTGAACAAAGGTGGGAGTCACAGGAGCAAGTGCTCCAAGATCAGGTTTCTGAGGCAAATGAACTTGGCCTGTAACTAGAGCTGCCTTCCCAGCAGGAGAGCTTGGCTGCTCCCAATCTCTGACTTTACTCTTCATCACCATCCTCTTCCTAGCACCATCTCAAGAAGCTGGAAGGCAGACGCTTGGACTTTGACTACAAGAAGAAACGACAGGGCAAAATCCCCGATGAGGAACTTCGACAGGCCATGGAGAAATTTGAAGAGTCCAAGGAAGTAGCAGAGACCAGTATGCACAACCTCCTAGAAACTGATGTGAGTGCCTGGGGGGAGTGCTGGCTCCTCTCCTCTCTGCCCCAGGCTAAGAGCTGCCCGGGTGGGTTCTGTGTTTCTGTGCACACAAGGGTGGGATCTCTCAAAGGATCCAGAAGTCAGACACTAATTTCCACTCTTGTTTTTGCAAACGTGGTTTTGCTCTCTGAAAACACAGATTGGAGTGCCCTGGTGTGGCTTGGCGAGCCTCTTAGACTTTCTGTAGGCCCTCTTCCTCATCCAGCTCTTGGCCAGAGGAGAGGCTGTGGCTTGTCCCATCACAGGTCCCTTCTCAGTATGCTGGTGGGAGTGAGTTTAGGCAGGTAACACAGCTTACATAGGAAGGACTTGAACCAGTAGCAAAGCCCAGAGAGTGGTAGGGGCTGTCCTCTGTCTTTCTTAGTCTTGGACAATGCCTGACCTCTGGTGTCTGAAATCCCAAACCTTCTCCACATCTCCCTGGGGAAGTTGCCCTTCATACATACACATTCCCCAGTATGGTCCTCATATGTACAATGAGGGAATCTCCTGTCAGCTGGGGAGAGCTGTTCATCCCACCTTGGTATGATTCTTGCAGATTGAGCAGGTGAGCCAGCTCTCAGCCTTGGTGGACGCCCAGCTGGACTACCACAGGCAGGCAGTGCAGATCCTGGACGAGCTTGCGGAAAAACTCAAACGCAGGTGAGTCTCGGGGTGATGAAGGCTGAGAGGTTTTCACAGCCACAAGTTCTCCCTGTGATATTTGTCTGGAAATACCTGACCATTCTTCTAAATCCATTTCCTGGTGTTAAAGCTGCTCCTTGCAATCACTAGAGCTTCAATCCAGACCTTCTTCAGGTTGGAGGGAGCAATGCCACCCGCACAACTTACTTCCAATGATGGGCACATTCTGCCACCTGAAATAAAACCTCTGTGCTTTCACCATGGGTGGATGGTCTCTGCTGAGCTGAGCCCACCCTGAATCAGGGTCTGCTGCTCCCAGGGAGGCTGGCGTGGGATTCAGCAGGGGTGGAGAAGGAGGATGAAATCCCCTTCATGCCAGTGCCCACAGCTCATTGCTTTGTGGGTACTGAGTGTGGGAACGTCCCCCAAGAAGTGTCTATTGGCCAGACCCAGGATCCAGTCAGAAGTTGCATCATACTGATGGAGGACATGGCTAAGATGTCACGAGCTGGACATGCCTGTCACCCTGTGTCACCTGGAACCACCTAGCTTAGAGTCTTCATGCTCTTAGCTTCAGTTGTGGTTGAGGAGGGTACTTGGACATGATTGTGGTCCAGAAAGGTCCATGTCAGGGGTCTCTCAGTTGCTCTGAAGACCAGAAGGTGAATGCAGAGTGGTGGGGATGACGTGGTGGCCACAGGCTGGTAGAAGAGCACTTAGATCACCTCCTTAACAGAAGGCATCTGTCAGCCCTCCACCAGACCCCTGGTTTTCCATCTGCCTTTCCCAGGCAGTCTCCTGGTAGACCCCGCCGCAGATGCGGCACTGCCACACGTGCTCTGGAGTTTTGAGCCACGTGAGTTGGTGAAAGGCAGATGGGTGCCTGGCACGTAGGAGCAAGGAGAGCTATGGAGGGAGCTGCCTGGTCTTGCTGCTCTCACAGCCCTTCCTGAAGTGCTTGACCTCCACCACAGCCCCCGGGGAATGCGCGGTTGCTGCCGAGGTGCCAAGAAACACAAAGGTGCTGTTGAAACACCCAGCGAGCTGGTTCACATGACTGCTGTGACTTGCACAGTCGTTCTTCCTGCTGCTCTGTCTCACCTGAGCAAGTGTCTCCCCAAATTCTGGCCAAGGAAGGAGAGGTGGCTTTGTTGCATCTGGGGCTTCCCTGCAGAGCTGGGGATGTCCCTTCCTCAGCCAGGGCAGCATCTCTGCTTCTCTGGGTGATTTGGTGATGCTGCTCTGCTGCTCTGTCCTTGGAGAAGGAACTGCTGAGTGGTTCCTGTGTCTGGTTTGAATTAAGAGCTGTGAGGATCCTGCCAAGCGTGAGCTTTTGAGCTGCAGCACGAGTGTCCTCTGCTGGCCTGAACTGCCTGAGACACCTCAGTTGCAAAGCCTGGGGCATGTGGCCCTCTTGAAACTCAAGGTCCCAAACAAACCCTGGGCTAGATCCATCTTCAAAACACCCCAGCACAGAGGATCATGCAGATTCCTGTCTGCAAACTAATCTGCTCCCCTGCATAGCCACCAAGGAGAATAAACATCAAATTGATCTCATCATACTCTCTTTCATATTTCATTTTAGCCACATTTCTTTTCCTTCTTCCAGAATGAGGGAGGCCTCCTCGCGCCCCAAGCGGGAATACAAACCCAAACCCAGGGAGACATACGACTTTGGAGAAACTGACCAATCTAACGGGGGCTTCTCTTGCAATCCTACCCCCAAAGTCTCAGGTAAAGTTGTCCCATGTCTGTGTTCACACAGGTGCTGCTGGAGCAGCCTCCTGGGGCTGGAGGGGAGCTACTCTGCTTGGAAATGCTGTTTCTGGTGTGTTGGATGTGCCTGCAGAGCTGGTGCCTCTGAACAAATGTCAGCAATGCCTCTGGTTATGGGCTGTTTTCTCTTGGAGCACAGCAGCCTTCGTTACATTGGCTTTGGGGACATCCCAGCAGGGTCTGCAGCCCAGGCTGGAGTGCCCAGTCAGTGCCAGCCAGGAAAAAAGAAGCATCTCTCCCTCCCTCCCTCCCCATTTTCCATCACGCTGCATCCATCCCTCCCTGGTCCCAGAGAGGCAGGCGGGTTTCTAACACAGCATGTGGGCCACCCCATTTCTCCTACCAGCTCCTCCCTTTGGACCCTGCCTTTCCCTCTCTCCAGTTGACGTTGTTTTAAGCATGTCTCTTTTTGTTTGGAAGCAGCTTCCTCCTCTTTCCGATCCGACAAGCCGTCCCGATCCTCCGTCAGGAGTATCCGTGAGTTTCCTCCCCCTCCACTGCATGATGTGTGACCATCTCTTCCCCATCCCTCCTCACTCCTCCTTCCATGACCCTGCTGCTTGAAGCTGCTAACACCTCCATGCTGAGCCTGGCCTGCAGAACAGCCCAGCTAAGCTAAGCCTTGGAGCTAAGCCCCAGATTAAACCAGCCATGCTATATTGGTATTTATCACCCCAAAGCTGAGGCCTTTGCTCACCTGGAGGAGTTGTAGCAGCTGTCATCATGCAGGAACATCTTGCATGAGGTCACAGGGATCAGATGCTCTTCCACGAGGTATCAGACATCTCCAGGATTACCCCATTCTGGGTACAAGCACCCCAGCTTGGATCTCTCCCACTGCTGAAGGCTGGGGGGGGAACAGGTAGAGCCTCAGCACGCTGAGAAGGTTTTGTGGCATGTGGTCCTAGCTGGGCAGTGAGGAACCTCGAATGGGTTGTGACCATGGGGGTCTGCAGGTCAGTGTTTCTGCTGAAGGGTCCCGTTGGGGTCCTATTGGGGTCCCGTTGGGGTCCCATTGGGGTCCTGAGGCCAAGCTGGGTCTGTAGCTCAGAGCCATCGTGGTGGGGAAAGCTGGTGGTGGTGCAGCCTAGGGGCCTGGAGGACTTGAGGAGCCTGGTGTAGGGGCAGTGCTGTGGTGGTGGGACCAGCCTGGTGTTTTGGGAAGTTTGTTTTAAAAAACATCAACTCACTTGGCTGCTGCTTTTGGTGTTTTTGGGAGTTCTCTGCAGTGGTGGCTCCTGTCTTGCTGTGGATGGATGTTCAGCAGAGCACATGTGCTGGCTGCTGTTCATGCCATTCCCCCTGCCCTGGTTGGAAGAGCTGTAGCACAGAGGGAGGGGAATGGGGGTCCCTGCAGACACGGGTGGTCTCTATTAACTCTGTCCCTTCTCAGTAGGACCCCCCCAGCCCAGTGCTGCCCCTCCTGAAGCGTTAGTGCCTGGAGCACCCTGCAGCCTTCCCTGCGCTGAAAACACCCCTTGGCCATCAAAAAGTTTGATGCTTAAATCATGGAGCTGAGATGTGGGAAAGAGATTTTGGTTTTCTCCCCATTTTTTGAGGGGCCTCACATGCATCACCGAGCTGCTCATTGATTTGAAGCCTTCTGCTCGGGGAGGCAGTCACAGTCCCCTCCCACCCATCGCCCTCGGGCTTGGGGTGACCCCTCTAAAGGGACCCCCCGAGGTCCTGCTCCACCACAAAGTGATGTCTCACCCCATTGTGGATCAACTGGTGAACTGCACAGTAGCTTCTCTCATCTGAGGGACTGGGGTTGTTGAGCCTGGAGAAAAGGAGGCTGAGGGGAGACCTTCTGGCTCTGTCCAAGTCCCTTGGAGGAGGGTGGAGAGAGGTGGGGGTGGGTCTGTTCAACCAAGGACCAAGGGACAGGACAAGAGGAAATAGCCTCAAGTTGCACCAAGGGCAGTTGAGATGGGATGTGAGGAAGAATTTCTTCACCAAAAGGGTTGTCAAGCATCGGAACAGGCTGCCCAAGGAGGTGGTGGAGTCCCCATCCCTGGAGGTGTTTAAAATCCATGTAGATGTGGTGCTGAGGGACATGGTTTAGTGGTGGACTTATCAGTGTGAGGTTGATTGGACTCGATGACCTTAAAGGTGTTTTCCAACCAAAACAATTCAATGATTCTATGATCTCTGGAGGAATAATTTTCTAATCTAATTTAGGTTGGAGTTTAACTTGGAGCAGGGGCAGTCCAGGCAGGAACAGGGGTGCTGGAGGTGCGAGTCTGCTTGGGCAGAAGCTGATGAAGGACATGGTTGCAGCAAGATGGCTGAGGAACTAGTGAGCTAGAACCCAGGGAGGAGTTGAAACTGAGTTAATCCTTTACCAGCACGGGGGCAAAGTGAAGGGCCAGCTTCTCCCGGGCAGGAGGACAGAGCTGGGTTATGAAACCAGTTGTGCCAGCGCTGGATCTGGCAG